GAAGTAGGGTGGAGAAAATCTCTTGAGAGTAAGTGTCCTAAAATCATACCAAAGCTTAGGAGGCAATGGGAAAGTTTTGGTATTCTGGTGCATTGTCCTTGCCAGAAACTTGCTAACTTATTTTGCCTGTTTCCTCTTATTCATCAGCCACTTATGGACAATCTGGAATCACAGACATATGAAGTGTTTGAAAAAGACCCCATCAAATACTCTCAATACCAGCAGGTACAGCGTGGATCCCGGATTGGGTCAAACTCAGGGCTAGAATAACCTAGGTGAAGATGAGACTATAGCCATGAGGTCTTCTCTCCTTCTCCCTAGGCCATCTATAAATGTCTGTTAGACCGAGTGCCAGATGAAGAGAAGGACACTAATATCCAGTGAGTGTTCTCCCCACGATACCAGAGATTTGTGTGCCTATTTCTCTATATGCTGAGTCACCTTGACTCTCTTTCTTTCTTAGGGTGCTGATGGTGCTGGGAGCAGGCCGGGGTCCCCTGGTGAACGCTTCCCTGCGGGCAGCCAAGCAGGCTGACCGACGGATAAAACTGTACGCTGTGGAGAAGAACCCAAATGCTGTGGTGACGTGAGTAGCAACCCTTTTACTGGGAAGTTGTCCCCAGTGCCAGTTTTTCTTAATTTGCATCGTCACTTGTATCATCTCTGTTTTAGGCTAGAGAACTGGCAGTTTGAAGAATGGGGAAGCCAAGTGACAGTAGTCTCATCAGATATGCGGGAATGGGTGGCTCCAGAGAAAGCAGACATCATCGTTAGTGAGCTTCTGGGCTCCTTTGCTGATAATGAACTGTCACCTGAGTGCCTGGATGGAGCCCAGCACTTCCTAAAAGGTGTCTCCAGGTTGGGGTATACTGAGTAAGGGGATTGGATTATTAGCTAGGAAGGCTGAGGGAAAGGCATTGGGGAGAATTGGGTGGGATGGCAACTGAGGTTACAGGGTTTAGGGGAAGGTGGGCTGGACTTGGGTCAGTGCCCTTAGCAAATGAAGTAATCTCCCTGAGCCTCTGTGTTCACATCTAAAAATGAGGGGTATAAACTAAAGCAGAGACTCTTAACCTGAGATCTGTGAACTCCCTGAGCTGCTGTGATATGTACCTTGGGGGCTTAGCTTTCATCAGGATAGCAAAAGGCTTTGTGACCTCCACAAAAGTTAAGAAGCACTAGATTAGAATATCTTAGGTTCCTTCCAGTTTTAATCTTGTGTGACTCTGTAAAGTAACCTGGAAGTGGAATTTCCCATGATAGGAGTTGGGAGCAGATTGATCTGGGAATGTGACAACATTGAGTTGCCTGAGTCTGTTTGGATGTGAGAGGTTTGGGCCTTCAGTTAGTACAAATATATCATTTCCATCCCTTGGGAACTAATGTGGCTCTCCTATTCTGCAGATGACGGCGTGAGCATCCCTGGTGAATACACGTCCTTTCTGGCTCCTATCTCCTCCTCCAAGCTGTACAATGAGGTCCGAGCCTGTCGGGAAAAGGACCGTGACCCCGAGGTAAAGAGCCACTCTCTTCTCGTGGGCTCCTCTCTTTAGTCCTTTCTTTTTCTATATTAGCATCTATTGTTTTCTTCCTCTGCAGAAGATGGAGAGGTGAAAGAGCAGTAGGGAATGTGGTTGAAGTAAAAGTTTGTTTTCGTCTTTTTCTGTGTCCCTGAGGCTTGAGCTTCTTTCCCTGAGGAAGTAGGTATCTCTTGCCTGTCTTCTTCAGCTCTTGCTCTCTGTCTCTTGGGTCAGGCCCAGTTTGAGATGCCTTATGTGGTACGGCTGCACAACTTCCACCAGCTCTCTGCGCCCCAGCCCTGTTTCACTTTCAGCCATCCCAACAAAGGTGAGTTCCTGTGTGGCTATCCTCTGACTAGGTGGGTTGAGAGCTCGCCCTTGCTGACCTGGGTCTGCCCTGTCTAGGCTTCCCTTACTGGTTCTTGCTCATGCTTTACCAGTTGTCTAAGATTTTTGGCCCCTTGTCACTCACACAACTCTTCCTTGACAGATCCTATGATTGACAACAACCGCTACTGTACCTTGGAGTTTCCTGTGGCGGTGAACACAGTGCTACATGGCTTTGCAGGCTACTTCGAGACTGTGCTTTATCAGAACATCACTCTGAGTGAGTGTCTGGGGCAGTGGATGGTGGGGTATGAGTGTGTGCTACCTGAGCAGCTTCTGTACATGTTTCATTTAGAGTCACAGGGAGCCCAGGAGTCAGTGAATGGGGATATTTGATTACTTGTTTCTGTGTTCACAGAAGACATTCTCCTCAACCTAGGCAAAAAGCACAGTCACGGAAACTTCAGTTTTTTCATTATTTTGTCCATACAGGTATCCGTCCAGAGACTCACTCTCCTGGGATGTTCTCATGGTTTCCCATCCTCTTCCCCATTAAGGTAGGAATCATATTTAAAACTCCATAGGTTAAAGAGTTTAGCTGTTGGGTTATGAATGATACTTGGCTGTGATCCATGTCCTACTTCTCTCACAGCTTGGATCCCAGTTGTAGATGTTGGACTAATGTAGTGGCCTTCTACCTGGCTTCTCCACATCTCTAGCTACTCTTCTGTCAATTTCCTACCTTAAGCAAGCGTCATCTTTTAAAACCCAAATCTGATTATATCTCTCTCCTGCTAAAAAACCCTTCAGTGCCTTCCCACTGTCCTTAGGATAATGGTTAAAATCTTGAACATTGCTTGTAAGACTTGATGTGATCTAGTTTTAGCCTGCCTTTCCAGCTTCTGTCCCCTTGATTACATTGCCTCAGTCCAACGGACTATTTTTCAGTTCCTCTGATACCCCATCATCTTTCCTTCCTGTGACTTTGATACCTTTCTTCTTTGCCTGTAAAATTCATTTCTTCTCTCTTTACCCTGATAACTTATTTTCCAGGTCTCCTTAAACATTCTTGTTAACTTTCTCAGACCTAAACTATGTTAGCGTTCCTAGGTGTTCATAGGTGCTTTCATAGCACCTTGTGCATGATCACAGCAGTCATCACACTTTAGAGTATTTGTTCAACGTCTAATTGTTTAGTTCTGATTATTTGTTCTGATAGACTTCAGATAAACTTTATGAGGGTCGGAACATCATGTTTTTATCTTCACACTTAGCTCAGTACATTGCTACATGTAATTCGTTAGGTCTACCCTGAACCTCCCTGTCTTTCTTCTTACAGCAGCCCATTACGGTGCGTGAAGGCCAGACCATCTGTGTGCGTTTCTGGCGATGCAGCAATTCCAAGAAGGTGTGGTATGAATGGGCTGTGACTGCACCAGTCTGTTCTGCTATTCACAACCCCACAGGTCGCTCATATACCATTGGCCTCTAGCCCTGCCTGCAAGTGTCCAGAAGCAGCTTCAGGTTCTGCTCCTGTAGCATAGAAGGTGCAGTACATCTGTGGGCTGTGGTTCCCGTTGTCCATCAGAGAGAAGCATTTCAGTTTGCTTTTCTGCCTTACATCACTGTGGGCAAAGGAGGAGAATTAATTGCAGGGCTCAAGCCACCAATCAGTGAAGACTTTAGGCCAGAGCGTGAGGAATTAGTGCTGGATCTGAAGCTACTCTGAAAGGCACTCAGCTTCAAGCGCTCCCTGGAATAGCCCTGAGACATGCCAATTGAACACATTTTCAGCCCTTTCCCTGCCCATCTTCTGTTCCTGTTTTGATGGTTTTGTGTGGAAGGAAATACAAATAAAGTGAAGTCGTGGCCTTTCCTGCTCCAGCCCTGCTGCCCCCGGCCTCTGCTTTCTCACACCTTACTTAAACTTAGGCATGCTCAGATCTGTGCCCTTATCTAAGACTCAATGGGGCCTACCTTTATTCCCTATTTAGGAAGCTTAGTGGTGACTCTTGGACTCCTGGGTATAGGCATTTCTGGCCAGCTACAGAATGGTCTCGTCCATTAGAACTTGTGATTAGATTTTAGTCTGGGAGGAGGCCTAGTTTGCCACCATGGAGAAAGATGGGGTAATGAGTGAAGCCAGCTTTCCACCTTCTTGAGTTGAACTGCCAGCTGCTTTATTACCTCTTGATAGAGAAACTGGAAGCCATCCAGACATCTCCAGCAAGACACCACCTATTTTGTTTGAACAAAATAGGGTTAGTTTGAAGTCCTAAGAGATCATCTAGTCCAATCCTTCATTTTCAGAAGAGGTATATGAAATTTGTACAATGATATGATGTTAATATTCAAATCGGACTGGAACATAGGTCCTCTGGCTTTCTTCATGTTAGAACCAGCTACCTTTTTGGAAGTCTTAGTGCAGACATCAGTTCCATATCTTTCTGGTTAGGGGGCTGAGAGTACTGTTACATCCAAGGAGTCATCTGAGAAAGTCTCAAGTTTACCCTTGCAGGGGGAAGTGTGTGGGGCACTGATTTAAACTGAAGATATGTGAGCTATAAGACCAGACAAATCTGACAAGACTTGCATGTTCCAGTTCCCAAGCACTGAAGGCAGGAGGTGTTTGGGAGGGTTGTGTAGACAGCCTGCTCAGGATGGGAATATGGAGTCTAGCCAACACGGTTGCTCTCCACAAAGCTGTCCCCGAGAGCACCAATGTGACCCTCTGCAAATAAGAGCAGGGATGGCCAAGAACATCAACTGAACTTCCTTGTTGGCTCTCCCCACAACTGGGGCTTGGTCAACCTGGGCGCCCGACTTTCTGCAGGTCGTTTAGCCAATGAGAGCCATGGGGGCTGCCTGAAGAAGCTTCCACTTTCTGGAAGTCCTGGCGAAGTTAGCCAATCAATGGGAACTTGATGGTTGCTAAGAAACAGTTGCATTTGGCTCCACCCATGTTTAGGATTTTAGCCAATGAAAATCTGTACTTTGGCTGTTGCCGTGAGACAGATTAGTTCCACTGCCTAAATATTTCAGCGCCTGCGCGGATTGGGGAAAGTTCTGGAAGATAGCGGAGCTACCGCCATTTTGCGGGAAGAGGAACAGCCTGGGTTGCAATACTGCTTTAATTGCTGAGACTCTGCAAGACAACCGTGCTTCGCGCTCCCCAACAAACGCAAAGGAACGGAGAAAACCGGGACCCCGGTGCGGGGAACCGGAACTGGTGAGAAACCCGAAAGCTGGTACCCCTGCGACGTCACCTCTGCGTGACGTTGCTGCACGGCGCTTCCCCCTGACGTCACAGGCAGAAAATGGCGTCAAGAGCAGAATCAGGCAAACTTTTTAAATTAAAAAAATTTTTTGTTTACTTTGATTTGCAAGTGTTCGCTATCAAAATGTAGCTCACTGTCGGGATTTTAGGGATCCGCACCCTCGTGGCTCTGTCCTTTACTGATGACGCTGTTTCAAGGATCCCAGTGAGTTGGATCTCTTTCTAAGCCCCCTCAGCCGTGACGCTTAGGGTCGTCCATGATGGGGAGGGAGCATTGACCAAGAAAACATTTAGGATCGGTTTTCAGCCCCTAGTGCCACCATTTGGAGAAAGATGAGGGAATTGAGTTTTTTTCCTTAGTCTTCAATTTCTGGAAGATTGATTTCACTATATCAGCCTGAGATTTTCCCGCTTTCCTTTTGTGACCACACTTTCCGTGGCGAAAGAGTATATAGTGAGGCCACTGTAAGGTTTTATCATTGGGAACGCTGGCTCTCGCGGAGATGGTGCCAATCGGATACTTTATAGGACCATTTTTTAAAGCATTGCCTTGGTTTGTTACACAATATGGGGAATGTTTTTTATCGTTCTTATTGTTCCTGTTCTTAATTAAAGTACCTTCATTTTGGAGATGTTTGTGCCCAGCTCAGGGACCGACCCAGGAGATGGCGCTACCATCACCCCTGGGACTCCAGCGTTTGGTGAATTCTGCCTGAAATGGGCTGACGGTGGTTCTTCACTCTCCTCTGCCTCTGCAGCAGTGGGGCCTAAGTGCTGGCTTGGGTCGTGACTGTACTATGGCACGATCCTGGCACTGCCATGATTATGGACCCCAGTGTAGTTTTTGGAGCAGGGATGGAAGAAAGCTCTATGGTGTTTTAATCAATGGGATTGCATGGACTTTGACACAAATTCATGGGGAGAGTTTGAAGACTACGAACCTGAAAATGCATAATGTTTGGACTTTACTGCATTTAGGACAGCTAGAAAGCTACACTAAACCCATTGAGATTGCAAGTTTCAAAATGTGCTCGTGTTGTATATGTCTGTGCTTAAATCAGTTCATTCTTTGTTTCGGAGTCTGAGTGAAAACTTTACCCCATACATGGGGTGTTCATTCGTCAACTTAAAGTGTGTGTGTGTTATGTTACCCTTGCCCTGTACTAGCACTCAACAAAGAAGAAGACTTGCAATCAGGAGTGTTTCGTTTAGGGAGGAAAAAGCAGATTGTAAAAAATAGAGGAATTTTGTGACCCTTAGGAAATCTGTATAGACTTAGCCAAAATGACTGAAAGGAACAGTTTGAGCGTCAAAAATTTTTTCGTTTTAGAACCATTTTTCCACAATAGGCCAAATAGTGTACATTACAATTAGCTTGGTTCCTGATATTATGAAACATACTGTGTACATGCCTCATATCTAGAAGCCACGCAATAAAGTATGACTAATGAGACTGATTCTTTTGATAAACTGATCAGAACATTAATTCTCCAGATAAATGTATTTAAAGCTAGACATATTGATATGCTGTATACTTTTTAAAAATTTTCTTCAATGTTAAGTTTAAACTACAAGAGAGAGGTAATCTGATAATAGATAGTATGTGAGGCTTGAGTCAGAAGACTTTGCTCAAGAGTCAGCTCCTCCATTTGAATTTTGTGACTTGGGGCAGTTCACAAATTCTGTTTTTCATCTGTGCAATGGATCTGATATCTGGCTGTAGTATATATTACTTTCGATTGCTAAATTAATATAAGCTGTTGTTAAATAAGAGATTGAGTTCACTGGATTTTAGGTACATCTATTTGATTTTGGTTTGATCTCCATTTTAAAACTTAAATTTACTTCCAAGTTATTTTAATGGTTTTGCTGTTTCTAAGACTCTTATCTCTGTAACATGCCTAGCAATATGAGGTACTATAGGTGTGATGATTATTTTTTACTTTTTAATACTATTTTTGTTATTTTTAATGTAATTTTCATATTTCTCTTATTACTTTATTATTAAATCATCAGATAGGCTATGGGTTCTGAGGGCAACAAGGACAGCATCACTGGATGATGCATTAGCTAGCTGCTTTAAAGAGGACAAAGCTCTTGTGGAGATGGCAAGTCTGATTATGATTCACCTTCTAGCTTAGAAATTCTGCTTACCTGGGGATTTTTTGGTCAGTTTCATCGAGGTATAATTGACATAAAATTGTACACATTAAAGTGTACAATTTGGTGGGTTTTGATGTGTATAAACACCCATGAAACTATCACCCCCAAAAGTTTCCTGTGCTCTTTTGTAATCTTTTCTGCCTAGCCCCTCCCCACCTACTCCTATCCCTAGGCAACCACTGATCTGCTTTCTGTCACTACAGGTTAGTTTGCATTTTCTAAAATTTTATATAAATGGAATTGTATAGTATGTACTCCTTTTTTTTGGGGGGGGGGTCTGATTTCTTTCTTTCAGCATAATTATTTTGAGATTCATCCATGTTGTGTATGTCAATAACTTCAGACCAGTAATTTTCAAATAATTTATCTTATTGATATTGTTTGGTATCTTCCGTTTTTCTTATTTGACAGACTTGAGGAAGACGATTGCTAGATGTGAAAGCTTGGGGGAGGCGAGAAGTCTCACCTTTCCTGCCTAGACAGAAAGGCTTCAAAGTGGGATTGGTTAAGCCTGTCTTAATCATAATCTTTTTGAGTTACCTAAACTCTAGTTGGTATTGTATGGAAAACACTTAATGATAAGTTCCCTAATTATTGGTGTTTGTATGGGGGATATGGGGAAGAGCTTAGGGAAAATCTGAATTTTTCTGGTATTACTTTGTCTTATTTATCATTTTTTTGTCTTGCTTCTTTACCTTTTATTGGAACTGTGTGCCTATTTCTATGATTTAAGTTTAAACCAGTTATTTATTCAGAATTTTGAACAGTAGAATAAAGGCCTAGTGTCTACTGTAAAGTGAGTGGTAAGTTTGAGTGCCAGCATTGTCTCTTCACATGGCAGGGTCTGTTTTGTATTTTGTCTCTACCTAAATATTCAGTTTTCTTCTAGACCCTTGACCTATTTATTCTAAGCCACCAAGCAGAACTAGTTCAGAAATGTAAGGTGCAAAAATAAACCTAGGGTAAGCAAGAGGTAGTAAGATCCCTTTGGAGTTGATAAAACAGAACTGTATACTGAATTCTGTTTCTTAGAGGTGAAAGGGAATGTGGGGTACTGGAAGGGGAGGAAAAACTTAAATGAGGGTCTTATGTATTGATGTCCTCTTCTCAGATCTGCTACCATGGCATCTGATGACTTTGATATAGTGATTGAGGCCATGCTGGAGGCTCCCTATAAAAAAGAAGAGGTAATATTCCCACCTCACTGGTGGAATTGGGTTAATAAGAAACAGCAGTTGGGTGTCAT